GACTTCGTGAAGGACACTTGGGATGATTTCAAATCCCCGACGACCTCTTCATTCACGAAAAACATGCCTAACTATAAAAACCTGGTGTCGACTCTTGAGGAAGTGAGTACAATTATAATTCCGTTCAGATTACACTGACATTGTTGGGATTAGGATCCATTGTTAAAACTTAAGTACTGGTTTATAGCTTAGATATTTAACGAAGCATACAATATATCAATTTTTTTATCCTAAATAACATGTTTATTTATTCACAGTAGAAAACGCCCCCTTTGAGGTTTACTGTAAAAATATCTGCAGATACACAGTATAAAATTCGCATGTCACGTAACGTTATTCATCAACTTATTTTGATGTAATTTCCATTATTGAACTTTTGTCTGAATTTGAAATATGTAGTCTGTATAATTAGTTCAAAAAAGTAAATTTTTGTGGACTTTTACGTGTTTTAGTTTCTAAAATATTTTTTAACAGTCAAATCAATACTTTGATTACTTCTATCCATTTTGTACATAAATTATTTGACCAGATTAAGTAAACGGAAGCATTAAACAACGAATGAATTTGTTTCCTTTTATCAAAATATATTGTATTGAAAATAACCATACGAGGCCAAATTTTACGATACGTATCGAATCGTGAACGAGGCGTATCGTTTAACCCCTATACCTATTATCGCACACCAGCTCTTCATCGTCAAATCGCAAGAGTAATAATTCGCGAAAAAGACAGTTGGTAAAGAAATTTTATATGGAATTCAGCACCACAAAAATAAAGGCGAATAATTCTATTTCATGTGTGGTGCTTCTCACGAAATTACGCGATCATACTTAATTCTACAGGTATATTTAGGAATCTACAGTGTCTGGAGGAGGAAATGTAGTTGTCCAATGATAAGTGTTAGCAAATCTCAAAACTTCATTTTATGCAAGAAAAAAAAAAAGATTTGCAAAAACACAGGTGCCCCAGGACTTTAATGTCATGGCTTATTTTTGTTGAAATTGAGAAAGGGTCAAATTCTCTTTTACACTGCGATTCCTACGTCAGTTTTGATCTGATTTTAATATAACTTGGCACACAAGTAGACAAAACTGAAATAACTTATTGTACCAGTTTTAGATTTTGATGAACAGTGTTTCCATGGTTACCTAAAGTAGAAATTTCATTGAAATTCCTTTAAAATGCTACTTTTCCAACAGTTTTGTTTTATTTTAAATATAACTTGGCATACAAGTAGACTACACTTACATAATAAAGTGCATCTGTTTTTGATTTCAGTGAAAGTTGTTGCCATGCTTACAAACAATAGAAATTTCTGCGAAATTCCTTTAAAATGCTTCTCCTACAGTTTCGGTCTGATTTCAATAGAACTTGGTACACAAGAAGACTACACTAAGATACATAATTCTGTGCATCATGTGTTTTTTTTTATTTCCAGGAATGATGTTACCATTGATACTGAAAATAGAAATTTCTTAGAAATACTTGCAAAACTCTACTCCGTTTGATTTCAGTATAAATCAGCATTTGATTAGACTACACTAATATACATAATTCTATTTATTACTGCCTTCTGCAAATTAAAACCAAGTATTATATTTTTCTTTTCTAAAATGTACAGCAGAGCTACAGTCTTAACCATAATGGAGTTATCTGTCCTTAGAGCACACTGCATCATATAAATTGATTGCAAATAATTATTATGCCCCCGTAAACAAGTTTCGGGGGTATATAGTTTTTTGTCATGTCTGTCTGTTTGTCCGTCTAGCTGCTGTCTGTTTGTCTGCAAAAACTTTAACTTTGCCTACAACTTTTGATTTAGTGGAGCTATGACATTCATATTTCACATGTGTATTCCTTGTGACAAGACCTTTCTTTGGGTACCAACAAATTTGACCTTTTGACCTTGACCTTGGAGTTTAACCCACTTTAACACAAAAATTTTGAGCTTTTACTTTGGTCATATCTTTTGAACAATAGATACCAGGACATTTATATTTGATATATATATTTTTTTGTGGAAAGACCTTTCATTGGATACCAACAAACTTGACCTCTTGACCTTGACCTTGGAGATTTCCGTATCTATGAAAAAACTTTAACCTTGGCTATAACTTTTGAACATTAAGTACTAGGGCTTTCATACTTCACATATATTATCCTGAAGAAAAGACCTTTCATTGGATACCAAGAACCTTGACCCTTTGACCTTGACCTTGGAGTTTGACCTACATTAAGATTACAACATTGACCATTTGGACTAGGGCATTCATACTTCACAAATTTAATTCTTGTGACAAGACCTTTCATTTGATATCAAGAACCTTGACTCTTTGACCTTGATCTTGGAGTTTGACCTACTTTTTACAATCTTTAACCTTGACCATAACTTTTGAACAGTAGGGGCTAGAGCTTTCATATTTCACATGTGTAATCCTTTTGACAAGTCCTTTGACTGGATATCAAGAATCTTGACCCTTTGACCTTGATCTTAGAGTTTGACCTACTTTTTACAAACTTTAACCTTGGCCATAACTTTTGAACGGTAAGGGCCAGGGCTTTCATACTTCCCATACGTAATCTTTGAGACAATTCCAGAGCTGCCAACATTCTGAAATGACAAATAGTAAGGCATGGTCTAGGGAACACCTACGCCCCCTGCCGCTGAAGATGTTTTGTAAATTGACATGCAATCTGAGGCATGTTTCCAATTTGTTTACTTTAAAACATTGACCTGAATGTGATCGGCCTTCTAAAACCAAAACGATGATACAAGCAAGCGTTGTAAGAATTATGAAGATATTATATAATAGTAGAAATTATAGACTGCCAGCTATGAAAATACCGGTATTATAAACTTTGAACGAGAAAAACTAAAATCGGAAGAATATAGAGAGAAATCAAAAGGCGTATTTTTGATGCTGATTTCGTACGCCTTACGCCAAAATCGTAAGGTTTCGGCAGCTCTGCAAGGCCTTTCTTTAGAACCCAACAACCTTGACCCTTTGACCTTGACCCGGAGTTTATCCTACATCATAAAATGTTAACCTCGGTCATAACCCTGAAACAGGTGTAGCTAGCGTTTTATATTTCGCATTTCTTGTGAAAAGGCCTTACTTTGGTACCAACATATTTGATCTGCATTTGAGAAAGCTTCACCTTCGCTATGTTGCCATACGGGGGCATCAGTGTTTCACAAACACATCTTGTTTTTTTATTGATTTAATCAAAATTATTTAGAAGTTGTACTTATCTTTTTTTGAGAATTCCATGTACCTATAAATCTATCTAGCAAATGTTTTTTTTTTAAATGTGCAACTTGAAGAAAGTAAGCTTAAGAGAATTAATACTTGAAAAGCATACAATTTACTCAAAATGCCCAAGATGTTGGTCTCTAGCCTTTTCTTTGTTTTTATTTAAATTTTAAATTTACTAGCTAAATGATATTGATTCATGTCATATATATTTTTTCTGAACACATTTAATTGCAGGAATGAACAAGTGGCATGTGTTCAAAAGGACATTTTCTAGGACAAATGAGCCAACTGAACTTGAAGACTTACCAAAATGCTGAAATCCTCTGTTAAATGTGACAATCTTCCTGTCTCCAGCTGTCTGTCCAGTGTTCTTTGTGATTCATCGTGACCAAATTCCTAGGGACCAGGCTTCAAGGAAACATAATTACAGGAGTTTTTAGCTCCTTTCCTTTGCTATCAAGAATTCAGGCTGAAGACATGATTTCAACATTTCATTTTAGCTTCTTATCAAGTATAAATCTTTATTGGTGGAATTAGATAACCTTTACTATAAACTTGTATAAGGATGTAAAGAAATGACAAGGTCACATTACAAATTTGCAATATTTTTTTTCTTTAATGTACCAAGATTGTCATAAAATCATGTTCCAACAGTTCGCTTCTTTTTCAACATAATACAGTATTCTATGTCATGTAGATAAATAACAAGTATAATTATTGCTTGCCTTTTTATGGGATGGGCATTTTGTTCGTTATACATACGATTGAGAATTATTTTTTTATTGTTCTATAGAATGTATATCACTTGATTTAATTTCATTCCTGACCTTGTACATATTACATTGACTGTTTTAGTTACTGTGAACCAGAGCAGGTGATGATTGTGGAATACAGAACATCCCACCTAGCCTACATTGTGTATCACCTTCAATCATCTTCAATTTCTAGTTACACAGTGCTACAACATGTGATCTATTAATTTATAAATGCTTCTTGTTTAAATATACTTTCTGTTACACTGTCATTACCTTTTTAAAGCCAGCAAAAAAAAGTGAAAGAAAATAAATTTAGCATCTTAGTAAACAGTGGTGGTAATGTATCAGAAATGTTGCATTGAAAGAAATATATGTTTTGTTTAAAAGACTTTGATATTTTAAATATGTGTATTGTATCACTTTTGTTTTAACATTGAACAATTTTCATCATTGTCTTTCCGATATAATATTGGAGGCAAAATTTATCAGAATCTTATTTTGTCATTTCATGTTATGTCCAAAAGAAATTTGTTGAAAAACGTTTAAACAGAACTTTTTTTTTAAAATGCTTATGAGTAAAAACAAAATCTGCCCCCATTCAGTTTATGGAATAAATTTGAAATATTTGTTGTTTTCGTACAAGGGCATCTTTTCCTTGATGTAGAATATGATAATTGATAAAAGTAACTGGTGAGGGGGGTTGACTTCCCGTCAAGGACCTTGTGGCTGCTTTATCTCCATTAGGTGATGGCATTCATAATACAGAATGTTAGGGGGCTCTTTTACCTGCCAAATGTTTTATGTTAATGAAGGCTGTAATCAGGTTTGATCTGACCCAGTTTTAATTAAAAGGAAGGGGAGTGCTGGGGATTGAATGAGGTCAAATGTTAGTTTATTTTTGGAACACACATAAGATCATTAGGGATTTTTTTTTTTAGAATTATCATTTAAAATACCTGAATGGATATGTGCCAAAAGAAATACTATGACCACTGTAGATGAAGGTGTAGCGAGCACCTGCTTGTATTGAGTTTGCAAAATTGAAAACCAAAACACCTCTGATTAATGAGATAAATAGATAGAGATTAGGTATAATTTAAAGTGAACATACACACAAACACACACACACACACACAAAGAGAGAGAGAGAGAGAGAGAGAGAGAGAGAGAGAGATTTCTGCTTTATGATCAGAATGACAACTGATGTCTTTTATAATGTAGGGCATGTTGAAAGTGATGTGACAATGGCAGAAAATCTGGACAATGTCAGTAACAGTAATGTAGAGCAGGAGAATGAAGTAGGTAGGTATTATAGATATTGATTGAGAAAATAGGTAGAAGTAAATAATATAAAGACAGGAAGCTAGAACAGGTTAGAATGAGGTCGGAGGTTAAAGATGTAATATGTGATAAGAATTTTAAACATACAACAGGTGGTGCAGAGTATGTTACTATGGAGTAGCCAAATCATGCACTCTTATTTTCAGTCCCAAGCATACATGTGTATTCTTATCCTATCAGAAATATATTTGTAGAATATTGGACTTTGTGCCTATTTTCAGATATAATCTCTCTAAGTGAAATTTGGGGATCTCCCATTTGTCTGTGTTTTTGTTTTATATATTCACTACTTGTACATACTTTTTGGAAAAAATAATAACAAATTTAATACAGTTACATGCTCATTATTATATAGATATACCTGGGTATGCTACCTTTACCATTTGTGGTTTGCAAAATTTTGTTGATTATTATCCACACAGAAAAACCTAGAAGCAAAAATATCAACATCAAGAATATCAATTTTTTAAATATTACTTATTTTCCTAAATATTTTTGGAAACCAAAATATCTTTAACTTTATGTCCCTTCCTTAGTAGACATGTGTAAATCAAAGACATTGGTTGATTTTAAATTATCTAATGTATCTTTTTTTCAGTTGAAGGATTTAAGCAGTTTTCCGTAATAGCCAGAGAACTGTCAACTTCTTTAAATGACATGGTAGGTTCATCTGAAATCTATAGAGCTTTGGTTTTTGATGCAGTGTAGCTAGAAATTAAATCTCAAGGCATCTTTTAAATTAACACAACTATGATCTGTAAATTTCTGTACTGATTTGGTATTTGAAACTTTGTGTCTGGACATAGGTCACTGTTTCTAAACCCAACTTCTGAAATTTTATTTTCCAATTCCTTACACTGGAGTATAATACCTCCTTAATTTTGCAAATCAAGTTAAGGTTTCATTGAAAACATGTTTACAAGTCTTACATTCTTCTAAATAACAACAACACAGTTAATTAAACTATTTCAACCAATTAGAAAGAATGAACTCTGAAATCCAGACATAATCTTGATGGGTGTGAAATTTTAATTTATTAGCAGGAATGATGTATCATTAACACTTGGCATTTATTATTTTAAAAAACAAAATTGTTTTTAAATCGTAAAATTTGCTATGTAATATTTTTCCATCTAATCTCACATGCCAGACGAATTAGCACTTGCTGAAACATCTTAAATCGGTGCTTATTTTCCTTTCATGTGATGATGATATTTTTTTTTACTAAATGTGTTTGGTTGATGCAAATAAAAATTTGTAATTAATAATTATGTTACCTTTGAGATGAAATACTGAAGTTCATAGGATAATTCTTTTCCTACAAGATTTTTATTAGTACATCTTAAAACCTGCATAACATCAACAAAGCTAGATGACAAAATAATCTTTTATTAATATATTTACAAAACCTCTCTTGGTAATAATACAAAGACTAAGAATATGATTTAACGAAGAAAGAAACTTCTAAATTAAAAGATTTCATTGATTAAAGCACATAGTACATAGTATTAGTTGATATTAACATTTTTATGTTTTAGGTAATCGTAAATTACAATGAAAATTACATATAGATCATCTTATAGGTAATTGTAAGTGTAATAAGATTGTTATATGTTGTACAGGTAACCAAGTTAAACACTATGCTACTGTACCCCCTGGAGGCCTTCCTCAAAGGGGATCTAAAGGGGGTAAAGGGTGACATGAAGAAACCTTTTGATAAAGCTGCTAAAGAATATGAAACCAAATTGTAAGTGTAATACACTTAGAACTTAAACATATCTCAAAAGAACAACCC